GAGGCTCTTGCAGCCTCTGATCCCGCCCTCGCACTCGGGCGGGGCGCCCCCGCGCGCGCGGCTGCGTCTTTCTTTTCTCATGGCCGAGCGGCCGCAGGCGTGCCAGAGCGCGAGCGCGCGGGCCGTCAGGGCCCACGCGCTCGCGTTGAGCGTGGGGCCACCAGGGCCCACGCTCGGCGGAGATGCGCGTCGCCACGCTGCCATGAAAATACCATCGCCCTGTCCTGGTCCCTCTCTCGTCCCCTCCTCTCCTCCTCCTCCTCCGTTGAGTGCACGCGTATCTCACTTAACTTGTATAGTCTGATTGGTTGTAGACTGCAGGTTAAGTGGGAGGGGGTGTGGGCTCAGGTAGCCATTTTGGGTCCGTAGCGTTCGGCTCTGGCCGACGCGCGGGTGCCCACCCACCCCGCTTTGCTCCCAGACGCCTGCGTCGGCCGAGCGGCCGCAGGCGTGCCAGAGCGCGAGCGCGCGGGCCGTCAGGGCCCACGCGCTCGCGTTGAGCGTGGGGCCACCAGGGCCCACGCTCGGCGGAGATGCGCGTCGCCACGCTGCCATGAAAATACCATCGCCCTGTCCTGGTCCCTCTCTCGTCCCCTCCTCTCCTCCTCCTCCTCCGTTGAGTGCACGCGTATCTCACTTAACCTTAATTCGCGCGTCTTGTCGCGAGGCGATCGTTAGACCGTTGGGTTACATTTCTTGGGCTTCATCTTTCTTTATCTCCATTGGGAGTTTTTTTGTTGATGACCAATCGGAGCTTTCGTTGCACATTCAGCGCGTCGTGCTCGGTCGGCTTTCTGTTCGTGAGGCTACGTTGTACTATGGGCGGATGTTTCCCATGCAGTTCCCATCCCCGTCTTCCTCCTCATCGTCATCATCAGCACCATCATCATCAGCATCATCATCATCATCCGTAGCCAGTTTGACTCAAGGGCCAATGTGGTTTTCAGCAATTGCCTAAGCGGGGTAGGCTCCCATCCATATTCCCAGAGTCTTGCGCTCATGCGTTTGCAGCACCAACCAGGGGGGTGAGCTGCCACCCGTTGCGAAGCTTCGCAATCCATATTATTGCTGTCTCTGCTTTCCATATCAACAACGGTGCACTTCGGACGGAGACAGCGAGACTCATTGAATCGTCACGGCGACTCCAGAGGTCCACCGAATGGTTTCAGGCCGCGGCTCAGGTTCCGGTACATCCAATTCCAGTGCTCCCAGACAGAGTCGCTCGCATCATTGTCGGCACGCGGCACGCAGTGGATCGTGCAGTGATCGAGGGGTCTCCACCGCACCGGCAGCCAGCAGAGAACATCGGCGTGAATCGAGCAGGGCGAATTAAGGGTTCACGTCGGCCCGGCAGCTCGGGAGGAGGCGCGGTTCGGCCACAACAACAGCAGCAGCAACGACAAGCAACAGAAGTATGTCAGCTCATGGAGGGAGTGATGACCGTCCCACATTCCCAGATGCAGAGAGGCCTCGAGCTGATCCGCTTCGTGAATGTGAGCCATGGACAAATCCGAGTGCTACCCCCGTGGATGGGCCTCCCACGCCAAATACTCAACAACGTGCTGGCGGACATGGCGCTGGGGCGGGCCAGGCGCTGGAAGCCAGGCTCACATCCATCTTCGCCGAGCAGATGCAGCTGGCCACATCGCGACTCCAGGCCGAGACCACCTTTATCCTGCAGTCGGCCACGTCCACTCCGCACAACGAATTTCAAGCAGTTCTCGGTCAAGTTCGCCAGCAGGACATGCGGCTGGACACGTTGGATTACATTGCCAGGCACATCAATCAGAGTGCCCACGTCGTCGAGCAAGAGCAGCATTAGCTGCGCGCCGAGTTCGAGCGCATCCAGGCCAGCTTGGCCATGGCAGAAACGACGTTCCCGCCGCTCGACATGGCGACGTTGGTGGTTTGGGGCCGCCCACCAGACCCTTACCTCTATTCTATCGGAGCAGCGACGTCAGTTCAGCCATCCGGAGTCCGCAGGGCACTCGAGCCATGGATCAATGCAGCTGGAGTGGCCATTTCGGCTGTGGAGCTGGTCGGCGACGCTCCATCGAGACGATTCTACCTGCGGGTTATGGGCGGCGCAGCGGCTTCTTCCTCTCGAGATGAAGGCATTTCTCCTGCGTCAACACCGTTGGCGCCGTCGCTCCGCTCTATATCAATGCGGACAAGAGCCCTGAGACGCTGCGGCGCACAATCCAGACTAAGAAGCTCGCCCCGTATACTCGGCGAGCGGCGTGAGGGGCACTTCTTCAGGAAGGTGGGCAGCGACGGGATCGTTTCGTGCAGCGCTATTTCCATCGTCAGCGTGGAGGTCGGGAACAACGCCTCCAGTCGACTCCCCTGTTGGCCATGACCCTGTGCTGGGAGTGAGTTTGCACAACTACGAGTTCGCTCCCGACGTCAAACATATGTTTGCCCATGCGTGGAAGGATGAGGTTGAATGGAATCAGGGCGACCTCCATCATCGCGAGTCCATTGCCATGGTTGACCTCAACATTCGCGATGGGGAACTGCTTAGCTCCGACGAGCCAGCCCCATTGCAGACGCCTGTGCCGACCGCGCCGTCTTTCCAGCCGGGCGAAATATTTTGGCTCGTTTTCGTTGACGTGGCCCGGGGGGAGCTGGCCGACATCCCGACCCGCGTCGATCGCCATTAGTACTCCGCCGCTGCCGTTGACAGGGCCTTTCCCCGCGTCCCAACTCACTTTTTCCTCAGTGCGGTTGTCCGCCAGAGTGCGGGCCACGTCCAGCTCGAGGGCTCCCAGGGGGAGCTCACCGAGCACGCCGCGCTGCTGCTCAGTCAGAACTTCAAGGCGCCAGAAGACGCCGCGAACCACCGCGTCCTTGGAGCGGTGTTCAGCGACGCAAGGTAGAATGTTGCCCTGGGCATGCTCATGGTTGATGCGGGCCAGGCACGCGCCCCCCAGTTACCAGGTGGCAGCAATTGAAAGATCTATTGATTGTAGTGGACAAATATACACGATGAATTGCGGCGACTTCCAATTTGCGCTGATGACAAGCGTGCCCGCGGGGGGGACGCAGCATCACATCAAGCAGTATTTCTCGTGCTGCCTGGCGGCAAGATACGAAGCTTGCAGCTCTCATCGTGGCCAGTTCAGACGTGGCTGCCAAGCGTCTTCACCTTCAAGGCGAGCAAGTTCAGCGTCGGGAGCTCGATTCTGTCCGGCGTCAATTTCGCTCGCTGCTCGCTGCAGGGCGCCAGGCCAACCGCGAGTTTGCAGTGCGCGCAGCCCGGCGTGCTCTACGAGGAAGGCAACGGCAGGCATGGGCGGCCTCGGGGGACCTGGTACTCCCGAGGCGCCCCGTGGCGGGCCTCCGTGCCCCAGAACCCTTCATTTTCGCCTTCCTGCCCACTGGGGGGGAGACCAGCGAAGCCTATGAGCGCCCGCGGAGTCCAAACCAAGCTCGCCCTCTTTTGACGCGCAGCACGGATGCTAATATCCCAATTTCGGCGGCCAATCAGTGGCTCAAAGGACTGGTCTGCGCGCGCACTCACCAAGCCCAGTCAGGATTTGTGCAGAGCTGGAATTTTCTAGTCGTTTGCCCCAACTAGACGCAGCTGCCCGCTTGGCTAGCACCAATGAGACAGCTGTTATGCAGGCGCCTGTCTGTGCTGCGCTCGATATAGCCGGTGGGCTTCCATCTCTTGACAGCGACTGGCAGTGGGAGGTGCTCTCTCCTTTCTGCGCGCCGTCTGAATATCTGAATTTGCTCGCATCGATGTATTTTGAGCCTCGCCGCTTTGGTCTGCTGCAGGGCGAAAGGCTATTTATGTTCCACTTGCGCTCAGGCGCGTCGCAAGGCTGCCCACTTGCAGGCTCGGCGCGGGCCGCCGCGGTGGACCCAATATTTGTCCCATTGGTGGCGGAGGCGTCGTCGTCTCCGCGGGGGGTGGTCGGGGGAAGCGCGGATGCTACGGAGCTTGAGCAGCCCCGTCTGTCTGCTATAACAATTGTCTCTCCTGGTTTCAGATGCGCCGAGAGGGCGGCGAACTTGCGGCTCCTGGCCAGGAAGGCAGTAGTTGACCCTCTGTCGTCGGAGGCTAGTGTCAGCCCGCTTCTTTGCAGCAGCGCTGCCCTCTCGGCGTTCAGTCATTGCGCCCTGCAGCTTTCGTTGCCAACCGTAGACCTGCGCAGGGGAAAATTCGCTCTGCACAGAGTCTTTCGTTTACAATTCAACGCGCTCCGATTGGCTGGTCTGTTCTCATTCAAAGCGCGCGGTGTAGTGGCACTCGCATCAGAGCTATTCATGGATGCAGCAAGCTTGCGGAGATGCGACTTTCATGCGGTGCGAAGCTGGGGGGCGCAGTTGCACGAATGGTCTGATGCGGCGTTCTTCCAAGTGCCACTGGTGCGCTGGACGCGCGCGCAATGGAATGCCCCATGCTGGAGGACAAAGCGTGGTTTCTTGCAACTGTTTGACGGTATGTCCTTAGTGCCACCCTTTTTTACCCATCCCCGTTGCACTCTGGTGTTCGGCGCCGGCGGCGGCCCGTCGCGAGCAGGCCGGCGCAGCGGGCGAGGGCCGCAGGAGGAATGTCCAGCGCGCGCGCCCTTCGTCGCTGCGCGTTTCATTTTTTCCAGTTGGATTTGCGAATGTTATCGCTGAGTGTTTGTCTGCATCATCTGCTGCTTCGAATCGTGGCACGGTGGGTGAGCGGTTTGGGGAGTGCCGCGCGGTGATCCGCACGATTAAGCCTGCGCAGCTGTGGAGCCTGCACAAGACCCTCGCAGGAGGGTGGGCGGCATCACCTTGCGCGCATGTCACTGGAGCGGCATCGCGTATTTTGGTTGCAGAGAGCAGTTCGTCTCATTCCCACACTACTCCTCCTGTCCTGAACTCCTCGCCTTGCCTCTCTGACCTCATTTAAGTTTCGGCCCTGGCGCCAACAACGGATACAACCGCGCATCGTGCGCACTCTCCCACAGTGCCGCCATGCAACTGGGTGTGACCGTTTTCCACACCCATCATAAGCTCAAGGCGACGCTGGTTCACGGAACCGTTGCGCACCCTGCTGAGCAAATCGCCGATGTAACAGCTGCCGTGCACGCCAGTTACAACTAAGCGTGCGGCCAGACTGTTGCCCCCAGGTATGGCCTATCACCGTCAGCATCACAATCAGGATCATCAACATCACCGTCAGCATCGTCAGCATCATCATCACCAGCAGCATCATCATCATCATCATCATCATCATCATCATCATCATCATCATCATCATCATCATCTCACCGCAGTCATCACCATCATCTTCACTCCCCGTGGCCTTCCCCTCCGCCCCCCCGTCTTTTATTCCTCTGCACCCACCTTCTCCTTTTCTTCCATTTCCACCCTTGTCTGAGCCGTTCTGGCCCGAGCCCGCTGCTGTCGCTGCCGCGCCGGCCCGCCAGGAATAGCCCTGTTGGCGGTCGGCATGGCGGTGCCGGGGGCGCTCGTCCTTGCGGGCACCCCGGAGGGCGCATCGAGCTCGGTGGCGCTGCCCGACGGAGCCTGGGACATCCTGGGGCTGGGCAGTTCCGACGACCCAGTGGCGCTCGCCAAGGACTGGCAGGTCAAAAACGGCCAGGTGACGCTGCTGACGGCTGCGGACCACGTCTCCAGCCGGCACGGCGTGGAGGTGGAGAAGGCGGAGGCGCACCGGCACCGATGGCAGCAGGAGGCGGAGGAGCGCCTGGCCAGGGCCCGGGCCAAAAGGACGCCGGTGGAGAGGGCTGCGGAGGCCGGCGTCGGCGTCATGAAGCAGGGCAAGTTTGCTTGGAGCAAAGACGGTCAGAGGGCCTTCCACTGGCGGAAGCTCTACCACGCGTTGCTGGGCGACGTCCAGGAGACACGGAGTGGCTTCGTAACGGAGTGCGTCATCTCTCCTACCGCCATGCGCCTCTACACGGACCACCGCGTGCTGGGCGCGGTGGTGGTGCCAGGCATGAAGGGAGTAGGGAGGAGGAGGGGGATGGGGATGGAGCGCGGGAGGAGGGAGGAGGGAGGATGGTAGAGGTCGGTGTTGACGCTGACGATGATGCTGACCATGACCGGGACCATGATCATGATCATGATCATGTTGCTGCTGCTGTTCATGTTGATGCTTCTGATGTTTATGGCGTCGATAATATGAATGATGGTGGTGATGATGATGCTGATGCTGATGATGATGATGATGATGATGATGATGATCATGCTGATGATAATGATGATGATGTTGCTGATGATGATGTTAATGATGGTGGTTGTGGAGATGTTGGTACTGATGAGATGATGTTGGTGGTGATGATGGTGACGATGGGGGCCATGATGGTGATGCTGATGATGATGTTGTTGTTGATGATGATGATGATGATGATGATGCTGATGATGATGATGATGGTGATGATGGCGACGGTGACGGTGACGGTGATGGTGATGGTGATGGTGATGGTGATGGTGATGAGAATGGTGATGGGAATGGTGCTGGTGTTGGCGACGGTGGCAATGGTGAGGGTGATGCTGGTGATGCTGATGATGCTGATGTTGATGCTGATGCTGATGCGGACGATGATGACGATCATGATGCGGTGGATGAGGATGGCAGCAGATGAGGAGGATGAGGAGGGATGGTGCTGATGATGATGACGACGATGATGATGATTCTTGAATCGCTTCGCTCTTTCCGCTGGCCCAGTTTTGCGCACCGCTGTGTCGGCTGGCCGAGTGGTCGCTGGCAGTGCGGAGCTGCAGGGACGGCGCGTGCGTCTGTGAGACATTGTTTTCGGCATGTTTGGGGTCGACGCAGCTCCCGCGGAGCAGTCGCGTGGCGGTTGTTTGGACATTGTGGAGATGATGTCCGAGGTTCGTTGGTTTGTTACGTGGTGTCTGGGTGTTTGCCGCCCTGTGGGGCTTCGTTTTCTTGTGTGGGGTTTTGTTGCCTGCGGAAGCTCGCATTGGGGCCGTTCGAGTGAGAGGAGGAGAGATCTGGTCCGATGATGGAGCCCTCGTATTGGAGGGTGGCGGGCTTTGAATGGGATCATCGGCTCTCATCTTGTCCTGATGTCGATTGTCACGTGCGTGGGTTGTGAGTCAGACTCCTCAGAGATGCTTCTTGGAGTCTCCTCGGGGTGCTGTCGTGAGCTTCTGGGGGGCAGTGCGCAAGAAGCTCTTGGGAGTTCTCCGAGGCTTTCGGGAACGTCTTGTCCTGGAGCCTGTTTGGGGCTCTTGGGGGCCTCCTGGCGGCCTCCTGGCCGCCTGTTGGGGGCCTCCTGGGGCCTCCTGGGGACCTCTGGGGGACCTCTGGGGACCTCCTGGGGGCTCCTTATGCCCGAGGGCTCGACATGTTGTTTCGTATTCCCCCTCTGGGGCCTCTCTTGGGGCTTTCTTGGGGCCTTCTTAGGGTGTCTTGGAGTCGTCTTGAGCGGTCCTGGAGCCCTCAGGGGCCGTCTTGGGGCTGTCTTGGGGCCCTCTTGGACCCTCTTGGGGCGATCTCGGGGACCTCTTGGGCCGTCTTGAGGCGTCGAGGAGCCGAAAAGGGGGAAACATCACAATCTTTCCAGAACGCATGGGACATCGACGAGTTTTACTTTTTGGGGACCTTTTGGGAGCGTTTTTGGAGCCTCTTGGGGCGTCCAGGGGCAATCTTGGGCATCTTGGAGCGATCTTGGGGCATGTCGGAGCTCTCTTGTTCTATATAAGAAGCCTATTGGGGGCCTCTTGGCCGTTCTGGGGGCTCTCTGGAGGGCCTCGAGGGCGGCGCCCAGGAGAAAGAGGATCTCTGACCCGACCCGGCCGGGGACCGCCCGGGGTACTTTTCGTCCAGGGACCCCCGGGGGCCGCTCCGTGCGCGCGAAGCAGAAATGTAAGTGATGCACGGGAATGATTGTGAATGTCTGCCGCCATTTATCTCACAGGCACTTCTCTTCGGGAAGAGGCATCGTGGATGGCAGGGCGGCTCCTCGGCGCTGGCGCGCAGTGGGCTGCGGCCATCAGCGGGCAGGCGCTGGGCACCTGGCTGGGCGGCACCCACCAGGGGCACGGGTGCGAGTGCTCCTGCCACTTCGAGGCCTCGCCAGACGAGGCGCTGATCGGGCTGCTCAAGGGGCAGCTCGACAGGTGCGGTCCAGAGCACCTCCACGGGCAGCCCGCCTTTGCACCTGACTGCCCAGCCTGCGCCCCTTGCCCGCCCGGGCACACCGGGCTCGAGGTGGTCCTGGCGCTACTGTTGGGGCTTGTGCTGGGCGCGGTGCTGCGCGAGGTCGCCTGTTTGTTCGGCCGTCGCTCTGCTCCCGTGACCGCGGAGCCGATTGATGTCAGCAGCGCGCACGGCCAGGGCGTTGGAGAGCCTATCGATCGGGTGCAGGGTCCTCGCCTACTACGATCGAGACGACAACTACTGGCATGAAAGATATATCATCGGTAAGGTCACCGACACTCGCTTCATTGTGGTCACCCCACACTTCGACATCTACGAGGAGGACTTCTCGGAGTGTCTCGCGCTCTGCCTCATCGGCCCCCGAGGGGGGCTGCCCACCAAGCTCAACGGGCACATCCTGCGCCTGGACATGGACAGGTTCAGGCACAACGAGGCGCGACTGCTCGGGGAGGGCCGTCAGCTGGCCAAGGAGATCCGCGAGGCCGAGGGGCTCCCAGAGGGCCCGCCTGGCGCCCTCGCCGACGCCGCCGCCGACGGGGATGCTGCCCAGCTTCCCCTGCCGCCGCCCCCAGGCGCCCCAGGGGCCGCTCAGGGCGGCGCTGCTCGCGCTGGTGGCGCTGGCAAGCCTGTTCGCTGGGTGGCCGCCGAGGAGCGGGCTGGCTACAGACCTGGAGACGAGATCGGGCTGCAGCAGCCCGAGGCCGTTCTGGGCGACCGTGGCGTTTGCGAGCTCACCGACGGCACCGTGCTGGCTGTGGCCAAAGAGGGGACGCTGGAGAGCACCGCCACGCCACGTGCGGCAGCCGAGCAGGACTTGCGGACGCTTCCTGTCAGGTATGACGCGCGTGGCGTCCGCGTCAGGGACTTCACCGATGCGGTGGATCGGATGTCCTCGACCGCCATGCCCGACTGGCCTATCAAGGGCCCCCGCACGACCCTGTGGCTGGTGCAGCAGTTCAAGCGACTCGGTCAGACGCCCTTGCAGCGGCACCAGTGGTGGCGTCAGACTCAGAACCTCACGGCAGCGGACGCAGGCGTTGACGAGCACCAGTTCTTGTCGGAGCTCCTCGAAATGGGGGCTCAGACGGACCAGCTTAATGAAGGTGAGCTGGCAGTGTACGAGACGGTCGCGAGGCGCTACCAGCTCTGGGAGGAGATCTACGCCAACAGGCTGCGCGAGCACGAGAGTGGTGCGCTGCGCAGCTCAGGGAGTTCGGCGTGGCTGGATGAGCGCGAGATCTTTCTTGGCCAGGAGCGGGGCAGAGGAGGAGCGCTCGTCTGCCCTGAGCTGCAGACCTGGGTGGCGGACCGCCTCCAGGCCGAGGCAGCGGTGCTCAAGGAGCGCCGCAAGGGTCGCGAGGAGAAGATCCTGGCTCGCGGTGGCGGCCCGGGTGGAGGAGATGACGACAGTGGAGCCCCTGCCAAGGCCAGGCCAAAGGCCAAGGCGAAGGGCGCGGCTGAGAGGGCCTGACGCCCTCATCCTGTTCAAGAAGTGGCTTGGTCGCCCGCCTGCCCCCGAGCGGTCGACTATTTTCAAGGGGAGGCGCCGCGTGGGCGCTATGTTTTCAGATGAGGACGTCGGAGGCCGTCATCGAGACCTCCTGCCGATTCCTGTTGGCGCAGAGCTTCGTTCCTTGCTCAGTGGTGAAGGCGCATGGGGCACCTCTCCATCGGCGAAGCGGAGATCAGCCACGAGGAGGCGGCAGGACCAGTGGCTTCTCGAAGGCATCGCCTCCCTCAATGAGCTGGGCGGGCAGGGGCGACAGGTGCCCAGCCACGCCCCGCTGACGGCGGCCCAACGTGTGGCCGTGCGGCGGCTGGCCTCGCTTTACGGCAAATGGTCTCCGCCCATTGATCGTCCAAGTCCCCATGCGGCATGGTCGCTGCTGCAGGGTCTCAGGCCTGGCTACTCTGAAGCCGAGGCCGCAGGTGCTCGAACAGTCTACCAGCGGGGGAACATCTCGCTTCCCAAGATCGGTGCTGGCAAGGTCCCCCTCGTGGACGTCCTTCCTGCTGATCTGCAATCCAAGCTGGAGTCTGGGCACGGGCTGTTGCGTTCCCCTGAGGAGGCAGCAGCGCTAATTCGTGATGCAGGTGCTCCTCGCGCCATGGACCCAAAGCTGGGCCGCCTGGGCTACGACTATGGCCACGCGCTGGGCGAGCTCTTCGCCTCGGGGGTCATCGAGTGCAGCTCAGAGCCGGTGCTCGAAGAGGCGGGCATGTTCTTCGTCGCCCGCAAGGATAAGCGGCTGCGTCTCATCTGCGACACCAGGACTCCCAACATGCACTTCACTGTTCCTAACCACACCGCCCTTGCGACGGGCGAGGCGCTCTCCTCACTGGAGGCGTCGGGGGTGAACTTCATCGGCATGAGTTCTGGAGACGTTGACTGCTGTTTCTATCAATACTCACTTCCGCCCTGGTGTAGGCGCTACTTCAACCTGCCGACTATTCAGAGTCGCTTCTTGCCGCTCGAGGTCAGGAACGCCTGTGGGTTGTCAGGGAAGAGCGGCCAGGTCCGCTTTCGTTTCAAGGTCGTGCCGATGGGCTGGAACTGGGCCGTTCACTTCATCCAGGAGGCTCACCTCCACATCGTCAAGTCAGTTTTGCCGTCCCAGCCGTGGTGCGTGGACAAGCACCCGGGGATAGACCTGAGCGTGGAGGACGCCAAGGTTTTGTATATCGACAATTTCGCCGTGCTGTCTGCCTCGCCCCAGCGCGCTGCCCAGGCCGCCTATGACATGAAGGCGGCACTCGCGGCCAAGGGAGTGGTGTCCGAGTTGGATCCCCAGGCCAGCGAGGTGG